AATCTACATGGCCATACATGTGCCATAATTCTGCAATATATGCAGTCACACGCATTGTGTGTGTGTGTGTGTGTGTGTGTGTGTGTGTGTGTGTGTGTGTGTGTAATCAGTTCTCTCACAGTGTGAGAGCTCCTGCAGGTGTAATCTGCAGACCAAAGCAGAGAGCAGAGCTATTTCTGTTCTGTTCACACACCCAACCTGATAATACAGCACACACTGTCTGCCTCAAGCTCCTTTAGTCTGCATGTCATCAGCAGAAGGTTTTAAAAGGGGGATTTTTCCAGTGATTCTGTAGAAGAACCATTCTGGGTTCCCCAAAGAACTTTTCATGGGACAGTTCTTAAAAGAACCATTTTTGTCTTAGTGTGAAGAACATTTTAATAATTTTAGTAACCTTTATCCACTATAAAGAATCTTTTGAAAGAATGTTAAAGGTTCTTCATGGAACCATTAATGCCAGAAAATAACTTTTATTTGTAAGAGTGTATGTTTAAGAATAATTTAAAAGTAAAGGGCTTTATTGGCATTGATGGTTCCATGAAGATCCTTTAACATCCAAATAACTTATTCTTAGTGGAAAAAGTTTCTTCAGATTATTAAAATGTTCTTCACACAAAGAAAAAAATGGCTTAAGATCTGTTCACTTTACGGTTCTTTGGGGAATGCAACAGTGTGTATATATCTAGTTTGCAAATGAAAGTTTGGTTTAAATGTGCAATATTATGTGCATGTTACATTTCAATCCATGTTACATTTGCTGAGTGTGCATTAAACCCAGTTTTCATCTTTTTCTCTCAGCAGTAAAAGGAGGCCACAAGCACACTAGTCGCAGCAATACTGGAAAAACGTAGGAACGCGAGCCAGTTTTGGAGCCTCAGGCTTAGGTGTGTGGCTCTGAGAACACTCTGAGAAATCATTGAGTTCCACTTGAATGAAATTAGACAACATCAGCACTTACAGAGGCAGGCTGAAAGAGTACAACATATCTATCACTTTCCTTTTCACTTCCTTAAAACATTCACACGGACAGATGCATTATTGCTTTTTCGGTATGCTGTCTCATCCACCTTAGACTCAACATGCTCTCTTGGCAGGTTTGAATACTTTGGCCAGGGTTAAAGTGGACTTAGATGCACAATACTGCTGTGTTAGCTTCAAACCTGAAGTCTGAGAAACTCACTCAGGTGTAAAGAATAGGAAAATGGCCTGTCTCCATTGATTAGACCTTCTAGAGGAAATGAGTGCTCACATTCAACAGCACATCCACAGGGACAGTGAAGCACTCCAGGTCTGACACGGTTGATTGGTATTATTAGCCTCTGCAACTGCAGCTATTTATTTGTTTTGCATGTAAGTAAACAATTAATGAAGCATTTATTTTTGTAAAGGAATTTAATTTGAAAATAAAATGACCAACGGGAAACAGAAAATCACATGCAAACATTAGATATCAAATTGACAGCACAGTGAGGTGCATTAATTTAGTTTAACAGAGGTTGCATGCTTTCAACAAGGCACAGGGAGTGAATCAGTGGTCAATAAATACTATGCTGACCTTCCTTCAGCGTTATTGACTGACCCATCCAAGTTCCAAATTGATATTTTATGGCCACGAGTCCCATCAATGCTGTTCTGTATCGTTTTCTGATTGAATGATCTGATTAGCTCTTTATTGTATGAGTTCAGCCACGTTACAGAGAGTCTGATGCTAGTGTTTAATGGATCTGTCAATAAATTTAATCAGAGGAGATGCCATATTTAATTTAACACACAAATGAGGATTTGAAGGTATTAAATCACATCTAATTTTCAGAAACCAAACATTTTTGTCCACTAGAATGTTTTGGAAATGCGTATTTTCAAAGATTCGTGAGTGGAAAGATACATAACCAACACTGCAACCACATCCTCACAGCCTCGTTTTTATTTTGTGTCAAACTGACACATTTTCACATTTCTAGGCTTCTCAGAAGCAGACGTCGTCAAAGTTGGAATTCTATAGTGAATTCTATAGTGATAAATTCTATAGTGATGAACGGAAACTAAAACAAACATATATTTTTGATATTTGTGATCCACAATAGTGTTTCTATGACTTTCCAATGATGGTCAAAAAAGGGTAAAAGATGTCAAATTTGCCGTCACTCTCTCAGCTTTTGTATTAGAAACACTTGCACAGCAGCGTTAACTCGTTTTGTAATGTAATTTAATGCCAAGGTACGAAAACACAAAGTATATAAAGTTATAAATGTACAATAAAATTAGATTAAAAAAAACCTTTGCTAGATTTGCAATGCTAATAACTGTGGAAATGCATCATCACAGTCTGCGAAAAGGGTCCATTTTATCATAACTAAGGAGCATTCCAAACTCAAAGTAAATAAAATATATACATGATTCATATAAAGCATATAAATTCAATGAAAATTCCCTTCAAAGTTTTTACTAGAAAAGCTTTGTTGCTCTGTGAGCAACATGCCTTGTGAAGTGGATGTTCAGTGCGAGAATAAAACTGTCTTGTTGTATCGCACTTGGTGTGTGTGTCTATGTGTGTTATTGTTCATCCTCTTGTGCTGTGACTCTCCTCTCTGCTGCCAGGCCAAAGCAGAAGTTCTCACATGGCCAAAGCCCTTAGTCACATGGCCTGGGCATGTGCCACATAGCACTAGCAGTCAATGCGCAGCAACACTAAAGCTTTTCCCCTTTAACACAGATAAAGGACAGTTTAAAAAAGAACAGGAGAGAGATGGAGACCTAAGGCCAAGAGCTTGAAGATTTTAATTGAAACCAAGAACCTGAAAAAGGACTGCAGGGGAATCGATGTGAGAAACTGAGGAAGGTCAAAGGAAGAGAGAGAGAGAGAGAGAGAGAGAGAGAGAGAGAGAGGCAGAGCCTCACTGCCACACTGGCTGCAGCTGAATTGCACGGTCATCTTCCCAGCTGCCCCTGTACATACATTGACATCAGCTTAGCTTTAAGCCACACATCAGGAAAAACAGAGAGGGAGGGAGAGGGAAGATTGTGTGTGTATAGATGTGTATGTTTTGTTAGTGTAACACTGCAGGAACAAGAGGGAGGGGTCCTTTCCCAGCTGTTGCAGCGTTTGCACATGGTTTATGACACTGCAGTAAGCGTAGCTCAATCCCTCTTCTAACACTGCTCACCGTTCATGGGCCTAAAATGTGGCAGTGATCTGCTGAGGGTCAAAAGAGAACTTTGGAAATTGGGTTGAAGAATGCAGTCAGGCTTCTGATTTATATGCTTTAATATAAAGACGGATCTTACTTTCTTCTACCAAGCACAGCTCATTTTTGCAGCTCAAAGCTAGAATTTGATAAACATTCTTGATTGGTGAAATCATGCCGTTCACATCTTTCACCTTGAGGGCTACTGCATAATACAGCGTGCTATTCTCTGCAGCCTACATTTCAAACAGCAGCATCAGTCATACTGTTGCCATGGTGAGATATGAATTGCTTTATTTAAAAAACATCCACGCTGGCAAGCATTGAGATACACAACATTACAATAGCAGCTGAAGGACGTGTAAATTGGTCGTTTTTGTGGCATCTTAAGCTTGCAAATCTTTTGAATTTTTGTCAAAGCTAAAATTGAGGTCACATCGTTTTCTTCAATCCTTGAACAGCATGTGAAATAACGCAAAACAACTGATTGCATCACCTGCGGTGATGTCTAGCACGCAACTACAGCGCAGATGTGTCTGACGGAACAACATTGTGAAGATAGCTGTCTTTTAATCCTCTGAGCAGCACATGTCCTTCTGCAAGATGACCTTGTGCGCGGTATCTTGTGACAGACCCACAGACAGACTAATGAAAGGAAAGACCACAAATGGTTATTCAGGTCCCAGCTCTGCCTGGTTTCTGGGAAACAGAAAGTGAGTGATGTCAATGATGGATGCATTTTAAACACAGCTGATTCATTTGTGGCTGTTTTGATTTGCATCTTTAAATACACGGCATAAAAGCCTTGCATGCAAGAGCAATTATTATATTCTTAGACTAATTGCAATGTTATTGTTTAATTTATGAAAACTGTATGCTATCTGAAATGTTTTGTATATTAACATTTCACATGCAAGTACGCTAAGGCTGCACAGACGTGGTTAAATTTGGACAAAGCATGTAATGCTGATTTGATCTATTCCCATTTCAGCAGACAGACCAAATGTGTCAGTTCTCCTGCAGATAAATCATTAGTCAGCGTACAACAAACTATACTATGTATAAAATGCAGTGGATGTCAAACAGTAGAAAAATGGATTGATTTTGATCTGGTCTAGGCATGAAGAGTCAAGCGCTAAAACTCGATTACAGGCTGAAAATAGTAGCAGCTTACTTTAATGGGACTGCAGGCTGCAGTGAGCACTAGAGCGGGCCTACTGAAGGCATCCCCGAGACTCCAAACCCATCATTAAAAAGATATAGACTGTGTCTGCCCATAAGCAAAAGCAATGTGCAGACTAAAAAACAAGGCTGAAATCTGTGGACCATCATCAGATATTTCTCTTTAAAACATGATAGAAAATGTAGATTTTTCATAATGTCAGTCGAAGCTTCATGTTCTTACAAACATCTCATTATTCTTTCTCAACTGGTTTTTCTATATAGACCTATACCAATGTGGCAACACATATAGGATAAGAATTACAAAGAAGCTGCTTGTTTATTTATAAACTACACATGTAGATTCATTACAAGCATTTCATTTTTGTTATATATTTTATTGTTTAAAGGAATTTGATAAATGTCTAAGAGTGGAGCGAAGACAGCAAATATTTAAACATTTCAAAACCGGTCGTATAAGGTATTTACATTCTGGGCAGGTACAGCCACCCTTCTCTGTGTGACAGAAAGTAACTGGATGAGAAAGAGGTGTGGCTGCGATTCTCTTGTCCAATCAAATGCCGCGTAGCCTCGAACCTGGGCGGAGATTGTACTATACAAGGGCGGGGTTAAAGACGGAAGTTCAACCGGATTGGTCGGTCGATTGCAACGCTCACAAACCATGGTCATCCTGCAGCCTGTCCTTGCGACTTGGAAACGTAAGAAAACCTGTGTCATTCTCAGTGTAGATTCTGAAAATTAACATCCAAACTGTGTCAAGCGTATGTTATTGTCCGACGATGATGCGTGATCGTTTTCAATCGCTGTCTTGATTATAACGCCAATCATTAAGCAACCAGAACACGAGCGCTGTCGTTTGCACCGTGCGATCTGATATAATCTAGCGTTGCATGCGAAGCAAATGTATCCGAGATCCACCGAGTAGCGTTCGGCATCACAGCAGTAGGATTTAATCGACGCGTCAATGTAGATTTGAGGATTTACAAAGTAAAATTCGGACCGAAGGGGACACTTCCCCTATTGCACATAGACTGAAACGCCATCAGCATTTTCCTGTATTGAAATGGTTGAGAGCGAGAGAGGAGGTCATTGCTGAAATAAGGAAGAACGCCGGTAGGTCAATTGCATTTTCTTGAAACATTTGCGATGACAATGCTTTGGAAATGCGTGCGTGAAAGTCTTATTAGATAAGGTGGCCTGTGTCATGATGACTTGTGATATGTTAAAACACGACCCTGTTTGTGCTTCGATGAAATCAACGGTGCACTGCCTACGGCGTTTCTCATTGCACCGTATTGTCCTCTTGATTTCATTCAGATTGAGAGCAAAGTGCGTGCATCCATGGTCGAACCGTTTAATGTGCATGATTGCAATGGGTGCGAGTCTAAAAATGAACAGAGAATGCCTAATGGTTGGATGATTTGATTCATTAGCTGTTTAGTATTGTGAATATTTTCCATCTTTCTCACACAAGGGTATTAAGAGAAACTGAGGGAATTACACACAAGTGAAGATCTACTCGATTAGGCTACATAAATGGGGGATTACGGCTTTCTGGTTAAAAACAATGCTGCAAATAAATCCCTTTTTCCGGTAAGAATTCATCCACACCTGCAGCATCCGGTTCAACACCAGACAGCACCTCCAAGCCCCCCGGCTTTCATCGGCAACAACAACACTACCAATGGTGGAAGTGTTGGGTCTGCTTGGGTTTTCCCAGCTGTGACGACCCACTCTAACATGCAAGATGATCTTTTGGAGTCCGAGACGTCCAAGGCTCTGCAGCCTCAACAAGAGAGTCAAGAAGGACAAGACAAGCAGACGCTCTCTCCGCCAGGTCACCAGGAAGCACCAGGAATCATATCCGAGTTGGACAACACCATGCCAGAGGAGAACCAGCTGGAGAAAGGGACCATGGAGAACGCTAACGGAAAAGAGGCGCTGCGGCTTGAATCTCCAGTGTTGTCAGGGTTTGACTATCAGGAGACGTCTGGTATTGGTACTTTAGCACAGTCTAGTAGCTCTTCTTCGTCGTCCCTTACTGGCTTCAGCAGCTGGTCCACTGCTATACCCCCCAACCCTTCCACCTTGATCGAAGAGGTTGGCTTTTTCAATCAGGCTGCTACTACTAACAATGCTCCTCCTCCGCTGCTATTTCAAAGTTTCTCTCATCACACCAGTACAGGATTTGGGGGGAACTTCTCCCACCAGATAGGGCCTCTATCTCAGCACCATCCATCTCCTCATCCCCACTTCCAGCATCCTCATAATCAGCACCGCAGGTCCTCAGCCAGCCCACATCCACCTCCCTTCTCCCACCGCAGTGCTGCTTTCAACCAGATGCCCCATTTGGGGAATAACCTAAGCAAGCCTGTTTCCCCTTGGGGTAGCTATCAGAGCCCCTCGTCCACCCCATCTTCTACTTCATGGAGCCCAGGTGGAGGGTATGGAGGCTGGGGAAGCTCTCAGGGACGGGAGTATCGCCGAGGGCTGAACGGAGGGGTCAATCCCCTTAACTCGATCTCTCCTTTAAAGAAGTCTTTCCCAAATAACCAGACTCCAACTCCGAAGTATCCCCGCAACAACTCTGGCTTCAACACTAAACCCTGGATGGAGGATACCATAAACCGCAACGATAGCATCTTTCCATTTCAGGTAACTAAAACTCAATCTCCCCTAATTATCAGCTATTGATGTTTTTAATAGAGGGACATATTGTTTAGAGGTAATATGGTTGCAGAGATGTGTGTGTGTGTATTCGGGATGAGATGAAAACAAATCTAGCATTTTTTCTTTCTGCATTTTCTCCCTTTGGCCTTACCTAATCTGATAGTGACAAAGCGCTCATGTGGCATGTTTGTTAGGTAATTGTGATGGATCAAAGCTCAGTTGAGTAATGCGGTGCTGTTGCTCCACTTTTGCAAGCTGTGAATGTCGCCAATATAAAAAGACTTGGATGAGTGAGTCAAAATCAGGGGATGTCACAAGCACAGGCAACAGGAGGGGAACTGGAAAGTCTGATACTCTGATATAACCACTTATGTCAACACAATAATCAGTTATTCCAGATATTAACATTTACAAATACTAGGGACATTTCCAAATTTAGTCAAAGAACTATTCTTATTACTTCCGTATCTATCATAGATTTAATAACTGTTTAAGACCAACAGATGATTTGATAAACAGAATCTTGTGATTTGAATTTGACTACTTTTAGAACATAATTGCTTATCTAGCAATTATTTGTAGTACCGTACTGACCCGAATATAAGACGATATTTTTTTTCTTGGAAATACATCTGAAAAAACGCGGTCGTCTTATATTCAGGATCTAGACTTTGACATGTCAATAATACGCATAAAACGAGTGTGCCATGAAATCTGTAATGTAATGCGTGTTGTAAAGATCGCGAGTAAAAGAAAAAGAAAAGCTTACAGCTGCATGAGTCGTGACTGTCACTTTAGCCTGATGGGACCAAACTCTCTTTGTGATTTTAAAACGTAAGACAGTACCCAGATTTGAAGACTACAGTAAGATTTAACTTCTACTGTTAATAAGATTTTGGTAGGCTACTATTAGATGGATAGCCTAAATGTCCTAATTCAGATGAGCTACCTGTTTTTTTTAATGGTATATCAAAAAGTGTATATATTTTTTTTATGTGATTGTTGGTACATTTTACCAGTTTTTACCATACTTTCAAAACTAAAATTAAAATAAGAAACATATGCAATATAAAAATAATTGACGACAAAATGTGTTTTACTGAGAAAAAAACAAGATTTGGTTTTTAAAAAGCCTTTAAAAAGGTACATCTGGAAAAAGGGGGGGTC